CTTTGGATGTAATTCATATAGAGATTATTTAACATTATTGTTAGGGATGGATATAATTATGATCTCTAAATCTTATTAGAGGTTAGAATACTTATTGATGTTTAATATATCTTTTCAGTCCTTTATTATCTCTAATAATTTTAATATCAATTGAAATTAATAAATAACAGGTTACGAAAATACTAATTTTTAAAATCATTCAATCCCAAAGTTTAGATATTAGTAAGTTAAATTTTATTTTTTAAATTCTTCAAATGTATCTTTCTGGTTATCTTTGTTATTAATTGTATCATTACCTTTTTCTAAACTAAATTTTACTAAAGTATTAATAATCTTTATTATGACTAAACCTGTTTATTCTGTTTATATTATAAATTTAATAGTGTATAGTATTAATAACCTTTGTTTCTAACATCTCAATATTAAGCAAATATTTAAAAGTAACAAAAATACCAATTAATTGAAAAAGTTATAAAAAAATGATTAAAATTATAATTGTAATGTTTTTAATGAATATTCAAATTCACTTTTGCTTTTGTTTTAAGTCCTCTAAAAAGCAACTACCTTTTGTTTTAAACAATGGTTTTAAATCTATCCCTTAATAATTCATGAATTGTCCTTATAAGATAAGTGTTCCTGATGCTTGGAATAAAGGATTCTAGCTTATTCTAAGTATTGTACAATAAGGATTAACTAAATAATAATTAATAATAAATACCAATTGGCAATAAGGTGCTATTCTAAAGTGGAATGTTAAACTAGGCAAGCAAATCTTTATAGCTATTGTTTGATTGAAGTATTTCCTTTGATGTTTGTACATTCCAAAGACAAATAGAGTTATCATCACTACCTGAAGCTAATGTATTTCCATCAGGGGAGAAATTGACTGAATTAACTGTTGATGAATGACTATCTAATTTGACTTTTTATTATCCTGTCTTGACATCCCATAAACGGATAGAGTTATCTGCACTACCAGATGCTAATGTAGTACCATCAGGAGAGTAACAGACTGACATAACATAATGCGAATGACCATCTAATTTGGCTTTTTATTATCCTGTCT